GAGAGAGAGAGAGAGAGATCTGTAGGAAAGGTGCAATGCTAGTGCTAGGATTATTACTTCATTTATTACTCTCGTAGTATACTTAAGTCTCTTCATATCATCAATCGTGGGAAGGCGATCTCCTAACACAGAATCTACCTGTCAATTGGCCAATTAAATAAAATTGTGTCTAAATCAACTATTTTAAATACAAAACAAAAGTAAAGCAACTGCAGTATAAGAAAGTGGTGGAAGATGAAATAAATTAGATTTGATTTCAGAAAAGCAACATGAAAATCTAGGAAAAGACTAACCTCATTTTGAAGTTTCAACATGACACTTGGTTCCTGTAAGTATAAGATTAAATCAGATTACGACCAATTAAATCAGATTACGACCAATTACCAAGAACAAGAAAGGATATTTCACTGGAAATAGTAGTAGGAATGTCCTTCAAGTCAAATCTGAAAGATCAAAAATAAGGTCACACAAATGGACCACCGCTTCTCTACAAATAGCAAATAAGATAAAAAGAGTTTCATTCTTGGTAATTTAGTTGGGGATTTAACTTTGTAATAGAATTTCAAATTTCTTGTTCTTTGACAATTCTCAAATTTCTTTCTTTACATACAGGGATTCTTTTTTCCTTCTTTTGCTAGATTAGCCCATATTCTTAGGAACAGGGGGATGTAACTCCTTCATATAATTTCAAAAGCTTGGTTTTTCTCTCTCAATAAGAAAGGGTACATATCACTTAAATGGTCAAACCACCTCACAGAATCATCGAAGTAGTCAAATCTTCCACTTAAACATTACAATTATTTTTTTATATATTTCATTTCCCTTAAGTACCTCGAAAAATTTGTTTACAAATACCCAAAATTGCACCTACTCAGTTTTTGGACAAGCAGGGGCATTTCGGTAATTTGGTCTTAAATAAGTGGCTCAGGCCCATTAAAATTAATACCCCTGCTTATTCAGACTCAAGAATGTGGAACAAGGGTTTACAATGAAAAAAAGTGAGTTTTGTATTGCTAACCTAGAAGAGAGGGTTGTGACCATCGTTTTGCTTGACTAAATTATGCCTTCTTCACCGCTAGCAATCCATGACAACCATATCCAATGCAAAGAAAATAAGTTCTAGATTCCTAACCCTGAACAACTAAGGGTTCTTAGGGCATTTGGCATGTGTTGCCTTGGCCTGTGCCAAATAATGTAAATACCTATGCATGTTCCGTTTTAGGAACATTGGACAAGATATTTTAATATGAAAACATGCTTTAAATTCGGAAGATGGAACAGACGGGGGTATACATGACATTTGGCTTGGGCCACTTAAGTGTGACCAAATTATCAAAATGCCCTTGCTTGTTTAGACTTTCAAAAACAGAATAGGGCACATCAGACATTTTGTAACGTGGTTTGACCATTTAAGTGATATTTTCCCCAAAAAAAGTGCTTTTCCTGGCATACTTATCGATTGAAGGTTCTGATTTATTTTTGAAAGTTTATTAGATTAAGACAGAAGTTTCTAAAATAATTTTTATTCTATTCTATAGCTCTATAGTTCTTCTTCTTCTAAGCAAAATTAAGGAGAAAAATTAGTTGTTGATACATCTGTGAATTCATATTAATATTCATAAGCCATCATAGTCTTTGTTTTATCTAGTTTTCTCCACGCATATATCAGATATTTAATCCCACTATTCTAGTATGATCAATTTTTATGGAATTTGTAGTTACTCTTAGTATATGCACTCAATTAAAATGTTGGTATTCTAGTTGGTTAATTACTCACTCATTCCAACAGTCCAACCAAACGCTAGCGTAAAACTCATAATAAACATCTTTTCCAGTACCAACAGAGATTGTTAATCTCTTCTTTCAAGAAAAGTCAGAGACATGGCTAGAAAAAATTATCAGTCTACATTCACATATGAACCCATGAATATGAGAAGAATACAAGCTAAAATAGCCAGCAAGAGCTGTATATCCAGACAAGCACTACTGAGGAGTAATTTTGCAGCGGCGTAATCTTAATGCACTCGAGCGCGCGTCCACAAGCACATACACACACAATAATAATATGGTGAGCTTTCATGATGTAGCCTTTTGGATGCTTCATGCCCTTGAGGCAAAACAATTTTCAGCAAGTGGCAACTTATGTCGCTAGCGGCAAAACAGAAAAAAATGGTGAAAGAATTCGGAATTTGTTCGCAGTGAGCAAGCACTAATAGTTAGAAAATGCCCTAGTGACCCATAAGTCGCCCAGTAAGAATCTGGCCTGCAAAAATTCATTGCTTGATCCAGTTATATGGAGAGCTTTATTGTATACCTTCTGAACATGGATTGGCAACATAACCACATGAATTAATTGGAAACACTGAAGTCCATTCAATATAAGAGTTTATAATGTGGTGCCTTCCAAGCTCCAATGCATTCACAACTATTTACTCATCTAAAGTGGACATCCCATTCACCTGAAGGCCATTCCATTTTAAATTCCTATCTGAATAAGTAATCTGTACCAGAAGCGTGACCACAATTGTTGAAATTGGCACTACCTAGAGAAAACCATCTTTTTTGGTAATAGGAACTTACATACTCATGTTAACTTTAATCACTGTGCCAATGCACTTCTTTTATAAATTGCATATAAAACCAGTTAGCAGAAAAGATGTTCCATTAATTCATAAGAACTTTAACATCAAAAGTCTATGCTAGCTTGAATCAAAGCAAATACCTTGGAGAGAAGATAAAATGTCCACGTTAATACCGCTGCAGAAGTTTCATGCCCAGCAATAAGCAATGTCATCAGGTCATCACGGAGTTGCTTACTGGAGACCTACAAATCAGAAAACCAGTGAACTGCGTAAAGAAGCACACCATCTGGAAACCAATAGCAAAAGATAATCAAGTTTAGAAACAGTGGTTTTGCCATACATCGTCCCCGGATGCCAAAAGAAAATGAAGAATACTAGGATCCTGCTCATTCATGTACTCTTCATGAAATTGCAATTCTTCGCTCTCCACCATTTTCTGCAGAGTAGAATACACAGATTAGTTGCACCCAATTCAGGTATGGGGCATCATCAATGGTCATGAGAATGTGAGAAACTATATGAACTATATCAAGTATACTTCAAATACTTTGTGTTTATCGGTTGAGGATTACAACAGATGGGTATAATTGAATGTTACCATTAACCATTGGCAGATGCAGTATACCTTGCATATGTCGATTAGACTGTCGAGTGTGTCATTTATAAATTTAATGGAGGCGTTAACCTTCCTTTGCCTTGGTGATAAATCTTTCCAAATCGGAATCTTCCAAGTTGGTATTACGGCTATGCTCCTAAGTTCTGCTTCTCGAAGGGCAGTGTAAACAGCCTGTACTCGCAATTACACATACAGCTCTCCAATATTCAGGAAAAGACTATGAATATGGTGAAGAGAAAACTGAAGATTTGTGAAACTGAGACTAGACTGCTAGATTCAAGCAGCTAAAATTACCTCAACAATTCCAGTGTCATTTGATAAAGAATCAAAATCGTAATTGAACACAGCCTTTCCAATGACGTCCAATGTCAACCGTGAAAACAGAGACTCCATCTCGACGTCCTCCCCATCTTGTGCTGCTGCATCCAGCTTACTGCAAAGCCTCTCTGTAGCTTGCGCAAAGAGGCTTATCATTGCTGAAACATACTACAAATACATTTCACTCATCATGACAAGGAACCCTTTTATATGTTTCTTAAATGGTTGATGCATAATGCATTTCTGGTTATAGTAGCTCTTAAGTTTTGAAGCTCTAGCATGCAAGCCAAGCAAGTACTATTAAAGTAATTATACCAAAATCCATTGGAGCATGATATACGGTACTTTCAAGGGGGCATCCAAAATTCATTCATGTTGACGAACAATGGAAATGTATCCTAATGGAGCCGACAAGGACATTCATCCAAGTACAATCAGTCCCCACCATCCATTATCAGGAGGAACATAGATTCCACATTCGAGTATCACACATCATAGTCCATTCAATTATTGTTTAAATTTTCTTATCAGGAAATCTAAACCATGTCAACCTTTTGATGCAATGCTGGGACAATAGCCCTTCTGCGAACTCGCCAGACTTCTCCATCAGCAGGGATGAGTCCTTGGCCCATAACAAACTCAAGAATCTCTGCCAAAATACCCTGAAATCCAATATAAATATTAGAAGAAGACGCGTTTTTTTTTTTTGCCTTCTTTTTCTTGGCAGTGAGAAAGAGATCCAATTAAACCAAAGCAAGAGAAAGCACTACCCAATACCTTAGAATAGGCTTTGGAGTTCTCTCTCAAGATACGTTTAGCTATGGAAGGATCAGAGACTATCAAAAAGGACTGCAAAATTCGATTAAAAGAAAAAAGAAGATAAAAAATCAAATAAGTTAAGCAACGACACTCAAACAGAAACAAATCAGATGCCCAAAACGCCAATTTGCAAAGAACCCACCTTTGGACCAAATTTCAATCTGAATAATCCACCATAGGTGAGGAAAAGTTCGTACAATGGAATAAAGAACGGGGCGCTCCCGATAAAACCTGCTGATCCTTTGGCCTGTGGTATTTGGAGTTCATCTTCTTCCCCAATTTTTAGATTTCTCTCCACCCCAGCAATCGCATCAGCCAGAAACTTCCCAGGAAAACCTAATTTCGAAAGCGTGCCTCTCAGTTTCGCCAGGTTCAGCAACCCCAACCTTCATGCAAAATCCATATACACAACCAACAAGATAATTTTAGAGAGAGAGAAAGAGTAGTAGAATATATGAAAGTTTAAGGGAGGAAAGAAAATTAGAAGAACCGACCATGATTGCTCTGCTGTGAATTCACCGGAAGCAATTCGAGCAGCTAATTCAGCTTGTCTTCTCTCTTCAAGAAGCTGCTCAACTCGCTTCACCCCATCTTCATTGATTTCGGGATCTTTTCCCTTAGAAGAGCACACAACCCCAACGTACCTAGACCTCGAAGCTCCATGAATACTTATATCATTCTTAGAAGGAGTAGAAGTAGAAAAATATGTCAGGTTGCTTCTCTTTGAGATCGCAATTATCTTGGCGTTGGGCCTCAAGAGAAAAGCTTTAGAATTGAGACTCTGGGCTGGAAGTTGTAGCAAGGGGCACGAAGCAGAAGGAGCCATGAGAGATAGAGAATTGGGGTTGCAGAGTCAGATAGAAAGCAATGGCGTTGGCTACATGAAAGAGTGTTTGGAGAGAGAGAGATATTGGAGTCTGGAATTGCAGAGAGAAGGTTGTTGAGAGAGAGAGAGAATTGCAGAGAGAAGGGTGTTTAGAGAGAGAGAGAGATTGGAGTCTGGAATTGCAGACAGAGAATTGTTGGAGAGAGAGAGTATTGATGATTAGGCAGATCGAAGCAGACCAATGGGACGAGATGAAAGCCACACGGAAAGTGCTAAAAAGGCCACGAAAAAAGATACCCTAACCAACAATCAGCTAAAAAACAAACGGATTCCGGTCCCTTGCGTCCAAATTTCTTTTGGGAAACCATTTCGACAGTTATCCATGTCTTTGAAGGGAAAGTTATCCAACAGGGAGAACATTTTCCAAGAAAATAAGACTCTCCTTCCTTGTTTTTTATTTTATTTTTTGAACGGTTTACCGTGGTTTTTCATTTAGTAAGAATGAAAAGCACAGTGCTGAAAGAGGAGGGAAGAAGAGAAAAGCAAAAGTGGAGGAAGGGGGAGGGGAGGAAAGGGAGATTGAGCAACTGCAATCACGTCACGTCACCATAGAGCCTCTAGCGAAAGCATCAGCTGCTCCATTGCTCTCCCGACTCATGTCAAGAAACCATAGAGCCTCTAGCGAAAGCATCAGCTGCTCCATTACTCTCCCGACTCATGTCGAGAAACCATAGAGCCTCTAGCGAAAGCATCAGCTGCTCCATTGCTCTCCCGACTCATGTCCAGAAACCATAGAGCCTCTAGCGAAAGCATCAGCTGCTCCATTACTCTCCCGACTCATGTCCAGAAATAAAACCTCCCGACCTTGAAGATTAAAAAGGATTCGATCCCGAAGCTGAGACCGTGGCATTGGATAGAATCAAGGGCTTTGCACCACTTGATAGCACTTCAATTATTACCCTCGAAAGTGCTTCGAGTCTACTTACCCCATGAAAAAGAGCCTACACGAGTGCAGGTTACTATTATAAGTCCAAATATTCTCCCAAATAATGTTCGCAGACCACCGTACCTAACCCATTTGCCCTAGCACTCCCATCAAAGTTGAGCTTCACCCGTTCACTTGCTAGAAGAGTCCAGATTGAAGCCTTCATGATCCTCTCCTTCTTGAAGGCCAGGAGCTGGGACGCGAAAAGCTCTTTTTGAATAGGAATATTGGTGGCTAGTCCTTGGCCAAGGAGGTAAAAGTTCTTAGAATCAGAACTTTTTTTTTTTTTATTGATAAAAGAGATCATACATAATATCATTCAAATTAAAACTGAGGAAATAACTAAAGAATCTAAATTTACCCCTTTTTTAGCCATATCATCCACAATATCATTAGCCTTCCGATAAACGTGTTGGTAGGATACTATCAGCTGCGATGTTAAATCCATCACTAGCAGCCACAAAGATTTAAAACCCCGAGTATCAGAGATACAAGAGCACCAGTTAATTATATTGAGGGAATCTTCTTCAAGTATCACTAAACTTCCAATTCATCTCTCTTTCCAAATTAGTATTCCCTGCAACAATGTAGCCAATTCAACATGATTTCTTGTCACAACACCATATGGTCCAACAAAACAAAATATTATAACCCTTTGACTATCTCTACATACCCCTCCAATACCTGCATCACTTGGTTACCAAAGGAAGACCCATCAAAATTAATCTTGAATCTGCCCTCTATCGGTGGCAACCAACACAACATTGGTCTCATTTTTAGAAAGCGATAAGACATGAGGTTTTCAAATTAAGAAAATCATCCACTTTGGAGATCCCAAAACCATCTTTAATAATATTTAGCAACTCCAAAGTATATTCAAAATTCTATTTTTCAACTCATTGATCCCCAAAGATACCCCTATCAAATGTTTGCCTATTTCTTTCCAGCCACAACTCCCAACTAATAGCTCCTTTAAAAATATCCCATATCAAAATCCCCATCTTTGGGAACCCTACCAACTTAAATTGATACAAGAAATTAATAAAAAACCTAACATAGCCATCATCACCCCAATCTTTTGCATTGCCCATTTCCAAATATGATGAGACAATGGACAATAAGAAAATAAGTGGGCACCAGTTTCTTCATCATTTTTTCAAAAAAAACCCTTACCCTGGAGCATGACACAAATAAATCCTTTGACTTTTAGAGGGACCTTCCACTTTCATATGGCCTTTAACTCCGACTAACACCATCTGATATGGTCATGAAACAAGAGAGAATATGCCGACCTCACAGAAAAAATGCCATCTATCTCAAATTCCAAAATTGCCTCATCATTTGTATTATTAATCATATAAACTTTTGCTAATAATTGCAATAAATCAGTAAGATGGTCAAGGACCATGCACGGGACTTGATTATACTGACAAGTTATAATCTAAAACACAGAGTTACCATTGATCTCAGCTAAATCCTTCACCTTAGCCATCCCATTCGAACATGTATTAAAAAGGTACGGATAATCCCATTTTAGAGCATTATTTGAGATCCACTTGTGATGCCAGAAGAGAATATCATCACCACTACTGACACTCCATCTAATTTAGCTAGCCACAAAACTTTTCATATAGGTAATTGATTTCCACACGTGATACTTCCTTGTATCACTTCTCCCTCCAACAATCATGCCATTCAACGGATCCAAACCATACTTTGCAACAAGGATCTATTTCCAAAGATGACTTTCTTGGTCTAATGAACACGACCACCATTGCAATTAAATATTGGTTCATAACTTTTAGCCTTTGAATCCCCAAACCACGTTAACACTTAGGTGTACACACCCTCTCCCAACTGACTAGGTGGTGCCTCTTATGCTCCCCAACTGATCCCCAAAGAAAATTCTTCATTAACATCCGAATATTTTTTATAATATATGAGAGCATTAATAACAAAGATATCTAATATATGGGTAGATTGAATAGTGAAGATTTAATTAATATTATTCTTCCACCCAAGGATAATCTATGCCTTCTATAAATCTAACTTAGCATTTGCTCTCTTAGCAATCGGATCCCGTACATCCTTAGGAAGTTTTGCATTGATCCATGCTTCTCATCTTGCCTTCAAAACATCTCAAATTCCTTTTCTTCCTAATAGACCCTTAACCGCAGCCACACAAATATGCGATAAAATAAGGCCAGTTTTTTAAAAAGGGGATGACCAACCTTGCTGAAAAATACCCTTAATGTGACAAGACAAAACCCAGAACCAATTAGATTTGGAAAGAAGCGAAGCCCAAATCTCAGAAGCTATTGGGCAAGTTAGGAATAGATAAGGAGCAGTCTCAGCCTTTTACTTAAAGCTACTATCTTTGCTTGTTTGATAATAGTTTAGGCGTGTTTGTTTAGCAGGAGGTTTGCTTTTGGAAGCTGAACCTACTTTTTAGTAAATAAACCACCCTTTATATGTCCCTATGTTTATATCCACATGACCAAAATGTAGTGTTGGATGAAATATTCATAATTGTAAATGTGGAGGAAGACACTTCTTCACCAAGTGGAGCACTGGCAGTTCATGATGCAGTATTTTGAAGGAAGCCATAAATAGTGGGATGGCATCAATTCTTGGTATGATACTTTGAAGTTGGAAGGCTTGCCACCTGATTCTAAACCAATGGGTGCATCAACAAATACCAAGCCAATGGGTTTAGACATAAAGAAGGTATGGACTATTTTGACAAGTATGCCCGTATTCTAACGATATCTACTATATGAGTATTACTTGCTTTTACTTATATTAATTCATACACCAAATAGATGTGACATCAATATTCCTAAATAGTGGATTTGATATATATATATATATATATATATATATATATATATATA